CAATCCCTATATATATTCTTACTCCCAGTCTATTTTCACACAAAATATATCCCCCAATATAAAATAGTCTAGACTGAAGCATAGATTTAATTCGAAATGCACTCCACTACTGATGCATCGAACATCCGTCCTCCGTCGGTGAACAGGTGAACAGTATTCCCAAAATATCAAGTCGAACAGAGTCAAACACCCAAACTTCCCATAAACGAATAAAAATCCGCGGTCCAACAATAGCCTTTCAATCGACCAGCGGGTCCCGGTGTTCCATCGAATCGAGAGGAGGTATTATTTCGTTCCCGTCCGGCGGGAAAAAGTATCGCGGTTCCGGTATCCTTTTCCCGCAGCCGATATCGAGCTTCCCAGACTCGATCGCCGGATAATACTCCATTGAAGTCGGGATCGACGAGGACCGCGAGGAACGAACGGCGGAGGACCGCTCGTAAGACCCGCCGCAGGAGGAAGGAACGAAAAAACGACCGGAAGATACACGGCGGAAGCGGAATATTTTTTTCGTCGACCAACAATTCAATTCCGCCGTTTATTTTGCTGTCTCTGCCAGCTTCCCGGGGAATTTATTAACCGACCGCTTTTTTCTCTCGCCGCGCGACGCGGTCCGTTACGGGAATAAAAAATCGCCGGGCGTCTGAAATTTCATAAATTTCTTCTGTAAGATCCGCGGTCCGCGGTTTTACGCGGCGGTCCGCGGCGAATAAATCCGCGCGGCTTCCGCGAGATGGAACTGTAACCGAGACCCCCGGTCTAACGAAAATGAAAATTGAAATTGAGGTTGACGTCGCCCCGGCGACGAACGGTAATCCGTCCGTAACGGGCTGGCCTCGCTCGAGAGACCTCTAACGACACTGTGCCCGGGTTCGCCAGGTACCCGGGGCTTCCGTCGGGACGTTACGTTCCAGAAACGAGCTGGGAAGAAGGTATTCCGCGGGGAACGAGGCTCGGATGAGCACCTAACGGTGTCGTTTCGACGGTAACCGAGAATTTGAATAGCGTGTGTTCACGGTTTCGCCGAACGTTTCGCTTTTAACGGGGGCGAGGTTTCAATGGAGGGAACTCGGGGGTTGGAAAAAGGTTATTGGTGGTCGAGGGCACTGTTGAAATTCAAGCGTGCAATGAAACTTCCGATGCTAGTGGTTCGGCTTGTAGAGGGTTTCTTTCGGTTATTGTATTACTCATAATACAGATTGCATTGCTACTTGTGCTTCAAGATTGTTGGCAATTATTGCTAATTATTGAGTACTGTTGAAAGTTATCGGGAACTATTGAATGTAAATTGCGATTTCAAATGATTACTGTCCCTCTCCCTTTCACTAATGATTTTCTGATGAACCGAACTTCGTATCCATCACAAAACTTCGAATTATTTCCAAATGCAATCTTAACATTCCAGGAGTCGCGTTACACGCGTCGCGCGAGCCGTCCAAAACAAACCACACTAATTCCAGTGATGCAGGAGTCTCCTCGAGCCACGCGAGCAGCTCTGGAATCCCGTTTGCCGTGCAAATAAAAAGCGTTTCGGGTAAATGCGCCATCCGAACGCGGAGTCTGCTCGCTCATTACGCGGAGGAACAAGTTGGCCTATTTCGCGTGCCGATTCGCATCTCGTCGCGACGCGACGCGACGCGACACGACACGACACGACACGACATCGTTCCCGGCCCCATTAAACGCGGCCGCGCACGTGTCCGAGTTCCGTCCGATCGAGTGCCGGCCGTGTTATCCACTTTAACGCCGGGTCCGAAGCCGAAATTGAAGTTTCGAATTAAACCGTCCGAATGATCCGTCCCGTCTGGCTCTCGCTTATTTCCTCGCCGGGAAATATGTCCGCGCCACCCCCCGAAACAGTGACGCGCAACCTTTCGCGTGGAAATCGCGTTACTATTCGAAATAGAATTGGCAGTGAGTCATCCGTGCTCTCGACTGGACAACATTCTAATCGATTGAAAAGGAAAACGGACCTCGATCTCCATGATATTTATGAAACGAGTTAACGCATATATTCATTACGTTCCGATCAATTGTACCGAACTGTCTTAGTTAAATAAAAACGGATTCAACCCCAATCTCGTTTGCGACGCGACGAGACCGGGAAAGGTCAGACGCTCGATAAAATTCCACAGTTGCTCGAACGCGCGTCGTTCTGTCGCGAATCGCGTGTAACAATAATCTCTTGAAACGTTTTGCATGTAGCGTCGCGAGAGGGGGATGAGTTACCTACGTTCCAGTGAATTTTACACGACGACAGCGCGGAGTGTGTCATTGTTCGGTTGGAATAGCAAAGTGGACGCTTTCGTTCGGATTATTCCGAGTCTTGATTTCTCTTGGGAAGAATGCGTTGTAACCTTCAATCCGCTTAATTGGACAATGATTGATAAACTACTCCCTTGCGTTCCATCAAGTTTCCTTGCATTTCCTCGGACTTTGAAGAAGCTTCCCGGCTACGCTCGCAATAACAGCTAAACAAGCCGAGGGAAAGCTACAAAAAAATCCAAGAATAAAGCGAGTACAGTAAAACTAATATCTCTAACCGTTTCACTCACTCCTATAAACGACATTCCACCGAAATGTATCAACTTCATAATTTCCACCTCAACTTAAAACGCTAAATTTCGACACTATCTTTCCTCCCCCTCCGTGCCTAATCAATTAACACTCCCTCGCAATCCCTAAACTCTCCTCTCAAGAAAAACTTCCAACAAAGGACCTCAAGTTGAACGTAACTTCGACCAGGCTTTTCAATCTGAAATCTTTTTACCGTTTATTATAAACCGCGTCTCGCGACACTTGCCGTTAAACCGACGTCCCTCCTCTCCGGATCTCCGAATCTCCTCGGGCAACCCCCTCCTTTGTTTCTTACATTATTAATGTACCGTCCACCGGGAACTTTTCCCCCAATAATTCTCGCCGATATAAAGTGGCCGGCCGGCCGGTGTCGCGGTCGAGGTACAGCGAGCCGGGAAGTTGGTAATATCGCGGGTGCAGCTCGAGACGCGCACGCGGCCCCGTGAAAAGCGGTAAATTTGCCGTGTCGGTGCACGGCCGAGCGGTAATAATTCGCGGCGATCGATAATCTCATCAGCGGAACTTTTACAATCTCGCCGGGCCGAGTGGACGCTCTTGAAACGCGGCCCGGCAAGGTCCGCCGGTGCCGGCCGGCCGCATTCCGCGCACGTTCCTCGAGTTTATCTCGGGGAAAGTGGGACTGACATATTGGGATCGTTCCGGCCGTCTAGTCGCATTTATGTACCCCCGGTGTCGGCGTGCCGCGCCAAAATGATCGTCGCCCGCCCTCCCTTTTCTCTTGGCTCGCTTCAACCCCTTCTGTTTGCTTTTTCGTTGACCCCTGGACCCCTGCGACGCCGCGCCGCGCCGCCCCTTGAATCGTTGAGCGCGAACTTTCCGACCCCTTCGTGATTTCCTTCGCGCTCGACGCCGCCGACAATCGCTTCGCGTAGGGGGAATCCGTTTTATGTCCGAGCGAGAATTTTTCCGTCGGGGATGGTTTGTTCTTGAGGAAGATGATCGGTGATTTGACTCTGTCGGATACTTTTCAGTTGGATAATGTATATAATTGATAATGTTTATGATTGATCGGTGAATATGTTCTTCGTGGAAAATGATGTAAGTCATTAAGATAAAATCGAAATAGGTAAATATCTTTGCATCGTGTAAATTTGATTACGAAAGAATATCGATATTCTTCTACCGAGAAGATAAAGAGCAAAGACGAAGTTCCCTCCCCTAACTGCAGCGCCGATCTTAATTCCCAATCGGCAACACAAATCTCGTATGCGCGCCGGTAATATCCCAAACCGATAATGAGTTTGCGTTAGAGTGGAATTCGGAAGACCGTATACATCGGGAAGTATAATTACAGCGCGAACTATCGGGCGATACCCTGCCCCGGTAATCAAGGGAAATAACGTTTAATTATCGCCGCGTTACGTAGCGCCTCGCATAGGGGAGCGAAACGATAAGCATATTAACGGACGTCGCGACAGATAACGCGGCGCCCGGTAAGAAACCCGATGAAGTGTCTGTATCGATCCCCGAGCGAGTTGATGGCCTAATTATACCGCCGTCTGATGTTTCCCCGGCAAGCTCATTACGCGAATCTCGATTCCTAAGTTCCGTTACTTAATTAAGGCATCGGAGCCGGCGCTCCGGCCGTCTTACGGGGGAACGCTCCTCCGTTCCTCTTTCTTTTGTCGTCGCGGGCATTCATCCCCCGAGCGAAACTTTCAATCCCCGGCGTCGTTCGTTCGACGCGAGGAATTTTTATTGTTGCCCACGGATTATTACTTGCTTCCTTTCCGCGCGGTGTACTCTTCGCGTTATTAAGATTTCTTTTTTAACAGTGAACAGGGAGACCCGGAGGACGCCGGAGGTACGCCGGCGCTCGAAAATATTTATTCGCTCGCGATACTCCGCGGGGAACGGATCAGAACGAAGATAAGAGAGTGGATAACGCGTATTATGATTTTATGAAATTTTTCTTTGCATTTCTTTCGATCGAGCTTGTTCCAGCGAAGGGTTTCGATTTGGGTTTCGGATGATGACTGTGGCTGAAGTAGGTATGATAAGGTATCGCGGGGATACCTTTTTACCTCGTTTGTTCAGTTGCGTCGAATTTTGGTATTAGAATTATTACGCTAAGCGATAAATTTTTAGACTGCAGTCACTCGGTGAAAAATGAGTGAAACTATAATGTTTCGCAGTGTGATAGCTTCACTGCGGATCTTCATGGAAATTCGAAATTTTGCAAGTATAATTAGAAAAGTGGAATTACTGGATGGTATTTCCCTGTGAACACTGCAAAACACTTTGGAGGATTCTCTATTCGTGTATTCAGATATCCGAATATTTTCACAAATTCCTCAAACTCTGTACTACGTTACACTTCCAAATTCCCCATAAAACTAACAACCCTCGAACCGAGAGTCTACTTGAAATTCCCGAAACTCACCGCTGAACGTTTCTTGCAGGTGTCGAATGAAGCAATGGAGGAGGGACCTGCCGCCGACCTCGGTGATAATCACGTTCCACAACGAAGCGCGTTCCACGTTACTCCGCACCGTCGTCAGGTAATCATCCCCACAGCCCACCGCTCGAAGAAAAACCGTCTCCGATTCTCCCGACCCCGAACAGCATCGGGACAACGGAGAGAACCGAAGAGAAGCCCGTTCACGAGAGGGTGGGATGCAGTTCACAGCTGGTCGCGTTCACGTTCGCGTGCTAATGGAGAAACGCCGAATTCACCGAAACGAGATTAATATTTCCTCGTTGGAGGAAGCGGAAGCGAGTAATCGCGGCCGGATAAATTGCCGAGCGTACGTGCGCGCTCCTACGGCATAGAGACGGAAGGGGTTGGTTGCCCTTCGGCGCGACGATGCATCGCGATGCGGCGAAAACGCGAGAAAATTCTCGATGCGACTCGGAAGCGCTCGAGCCGGCCAATGGAATTTTCTAATCGTCGTTCCATCGTCCCGACTTTCCCCATCGGCCATTACTCGCGACGGCCGCATTATATCCGGTGGCTTGATGGCGATAAATCACGCGTGAAATATGAAGAGTCTCGGGACGCGTGCGGCGGACCGATTGGATTTTCGAATGCGCTCGGATCGTACAGCAGAGGCAGTAGTCATTTAATCGGTTGTAGAGAGACTTGCGATCATTGCTTTGATACAGCGAAATTAGGTTTCTTATTCGCTAGTGTTTTGCGCAATGGAATATTGAGCTATAACATATAGTTCTTTTGAGTAACATGGAATTGGATTCAATGAGAAATGGAAGGAAAATTGTCCGTTATAAAATAACTGTTTTTGTTGATATTTTATAAATGTCTTATGAGTTCGTAGTTTCTAGTTTATAATCGATGTTCGCTTGTAACATGGACTAAATATTTTCAAGCCTAGCGATCGAATAGGAAAGGATATTCACCTCGCAGTCTGCTACAAGCAGAATATATTTGTGGCGAACACATCCGCGATAAATAACACGTCACAGACCAAACAGCATTACCCGAGACAATCAATCAATACGCATTCGTGAATCTCGAATGGCCGCGGGGCGACACGTTCCCCAGAACACCGCGTTGACAGCGGAAGTGTCGGGAGACAAGCATCCTCGTGTACCGAATTACCATGTTTCGGTAGCCGTGTGCTCGATCAACGCCACGTGAAACCGAAAACAACGTTCACCCATAACTTCTACTAAAAACTTTACGAAATTCCTTCGGAACTCCGCGGTTCGAACACTCTGTCGCCTACTGGTCCTTCAGCGATCAAAAGAATTACGCAAAAACCTTGATTGCTTAAATTAATTCTATAATCATTGCAAGAAACCTTGGAAAAATTCAAAAGCGTTACATTACAATCTCTCGGATGCCTCACTTTTCTTATCAACACAAGTTGCGCGCGTGATAATGCAATAATTTCAATTGTCTTCCTTAAAATATTCAACACTACAAATGACACCATAGAGCCTTTAACCAGTTAACTGTGTTTGACGAGTATACACTCGTAAAGCTTGACAAGATACTAATTCTTTCAGGGATGAATTCTTTTTTTCACGTAAACATGTAATTCTTCGTTTCACTTTGATCTTCCATTAAAATATACTGTACGCGCATTCGTCCTGCGCTCGACGAGTACACGCTCTATTTTTCCAACTAAATTCCACAGTTAACCGGTTAAAGTCTACATCCTTGGACAAAAGTAATTTTAAGCCGAATTTCGCGACTCCATTTTTCAACGGTTTCGTTGGGAGCAGCGTGAAAAATACGTCGCCGCCCTCGAGGGTAGGAAATCCTTAAACATACACCGAGGCCGTGCCCGTTCGGTATTCCATGCGAATCAGAGATTTCCCCTGCGAACGGGCCGCCCCTTAATTGAAACGGTTCGCCGCGGCGAACCGAACGAGATCGCAGATCGCCGGGAAAAGAATTTTCTTTCCGGGGGTAAGCGAGTTTCCGTCGAGACGGGGCGCCCGCGAAAACTTATTTAAGAGCAGGGATCGTTGCCGTTTTGAGCGCGCGGCCGGATGGGATTACTGGGCGGTCGATGAAATTAGAACCGTTTAATTTGGACGCGGAACACCCCTACAGAGAGGGGGGGAGCAACGGGACCACGTAAGAACCTGAAATACGCTTTTTGCTTGCAGCGTGCTGAACAGAAGTCCCGAGCACCTTATCAAGGAAATTATTCTGGTCGACGACTTCAGCGATCATCGTAAGCTTTAATTACTGCCATTCTACGCGCGGAAATCTCGCTTATAGTATGTAGATTCGTGTACATCGTTGCTGGAAAGTGTTTCCCTTTGCGTTCGCGTTATTCGCAATTCAGATGAGCAAACGGAAGGTTTGTTTCACTATTTTCACCATTCTGCTCGATTGTTCGCTAAAAGTGCAGTTTGCACTTTAATGTTGAGATTCTACGCTTCGTCGCGTCAATATATAATTGCCAAATGTAACAGATACAATTAAAGAATCGAAGGATATTTTTATACGAAAGCTTCTGCGTCTATAATAACACCGTCTCACTAAGAATTCCAAGATCGTTGATGGAACAAGCGATCAAACATTCTTCGGCAGCAGTGTTCGCGTCTACTATAATAGTCCGCGCATTAGATCGTGATATATCTGCACGACATTCCCCTGAATGTTCGATTAACCGTGCCTCCGCGTATTATTGGAACGAAGCGCCTATAATAGCACCGATAATGGAACCCCAGTGATTCTTGCACGCGGATTCCTATTGTACGAACATCTCGGTTATCCGAGCCGTCTCTCGTTCTCCTCCGAGTCTAATTCAAGCCGGTTTTCCCTACACGAAAATACGCTCGACTCGATGGGACGGTTCCACCCTCGTGATTCACGCGAAAGCGCGAACGCAACGAGAAAGGGAACTTTGTCAAAAAATGTTGCCTCCGCTCGAAACATTTTGAGCTCGACGCGGCGCGCCGAATACTTTCGACGAGACGATTGTTCTAGGAATGTACCTTTAGCGTTTCGTTATTCCGCGTTTGCAGCCGAGGACGGCGAGGAACTGTCGAGGATACACAAGGTGCGGGTGATACGGAACGAGAAGAGGGAAGGTTTAATGAGATCGAGGGTGAGGGGCGCGGACGCCGCGACCGCGAGCGTGCTGACGTTCCTCGATTCGCATTGCGAATGCAACGCGGACTGGCTCGAACCCCTGCTGGAAAGGGTGGCCGAGGATCCCACGAGGGTCGTGTGTCCTGTTATTGACGTGATCAGCATGGATACCTTCCAATATATCGGTACGTACCGCACTGCAAATATCGTGCGTCGTCTGATGTCGAATCGATAGCGCGCGACGCGATGCCAATCTTTAATTAAGAACAACTCGAATTCTGCGTGTGGTATTCAGTGCTGCGCTATTCAAGATTTAATGGAGAATATTAAAAATTAATAAATCGTTGGTCCTCGAACGAAAGTCGATACGTTGATTGTTTAATCGTTCGGCGACGGTTCAATTAACTTTGGGAAATGATTAATTATCTTTGGCTGTCAATTAACTTTATCAGTTTGGAAAAGATTTATTGGAAAATGGACTTGCGAAGATAGTTTATTCGAATAATTTCGATTCGAACGCGTACGCTGTCGACTTAATCTTTAATCTTAATCTTAATCTTAAAGTACGATTGTCTGCTCGTTAATGTTAACTGTAACTCCTAGATTTTCTACGAGACGCTCTCGAAATTAGCCGATGAACGCAAACACAACTGACTTATCTCTAAATCCCAACAATGTCTTCGTGTACAGGAGCATCAGCGGACCTAAGGGGTGGTTTCGACTGGAGCCTAGTGTTCAAATGGGAGTACCTAAGCCAAGTCGAGAGACAAGCCAGACAAAAGGATCCCACGCAAGCGATCAGAACCCCAATGATCGCTGGTGGTCTATTCGTAATTAACAAGGCTTACTTCGAGAAGCTCGGCAAGTACGACACTCAAATGGATGTTTGGGGCGGCGAGAATCTCGGTGAGTCTCCTCCTTATCCAAAAATCCACGAAAACAAGTTCTACTTTTACGAGTCACAATTTTTCGGAGTAAACCGCGTCCAAAAGGAAACGTCTCCCGTCTCCCCGTCGCTGCAGTTGACCTCGTCGAGAGTCAGAGATGCCGATGACCTTTCGAAAGAAAGATTCGCCAACCCTTTGCTCTGGGGAATTTTCAATGGTCGTTCGATTCCACGAAAGATTTCGATATTAAATTTTGTGTAATGTATCGCCACGCGAAATCTCAAAATAAAATAAAACATTACATTATACTATAATGAAATGAAAATGTGATAACACATCTGTTCGTATCAGTTGCAAATATTCTCAGTTTCATCCGAAAAATATTGTCGACCGCAGAACGTTATATTAGCACTGTCTTTGCACTCGGAAGCTTTTCAGTTGAAACATTCGACACTTTCCAATAAGACATAGACGACACTATTCGAAACGAACTAATGAGAAGACATACGTCAATTAAGAAACAGCTATTTTATATAAATATTTCACATATTGATGCATTGTACAGAACTTGATATTACATATACAACACTTTCTAATTTTGTTATATCAAATTAGTGACCGAGAGTCACCTCTCGAGTGCAAAGGGTTAATACGGTGACGACTACCGATCGGTAGACTTTCCTATCGAACGCAGCTTCCTCCCGAAAGCCCGAAGCAGTCGGCAGAAAAGATTCGCGTGGTAGGAACGAGGGATCGCTGACCGTTTCGCTGCTGTTTCAGAAATATCGTTCCGGGTGTGGCAATGCGGCGGCAGCCTGGAGATAATCCCGTGCTCGCGCGTCGGCCACGTGTTCCGGAAACGGCACCCGTACTCGTTCCCCGGGGGCAGCGGGAACGTTTTCGCGCGGAACACCAGACGCGCGGCCGAAGTGTGGATGGACGACTACAAGCAGTTCTACTACAACGCGGTGCCGCTCGCGCGAAACATCCCCTACGGAAAGTGAGTATCCTCGGGCGCGGCTCGCGTTCGCATGCCGCCGGCCTCCGGCAGACGTGCGTCGAATCGACGAAATCCGAAATTAACGGCGAGAAATTCTTCTCGGCTAACAAATCGCTCGGCGGCTCGGATGTTGCGCGATGGATCTCGACTGTTTAGACATTTTCCGCGGTTTCGCGTTGCATCTCGAGATACGTTGAATTCAATTATTTCTTAGTGCAGTTATTTGTAATGTTGTTACAAGAACTCAGTTTCTTGACAGAGAAGTCGAGGAAGCGGAAATAAACGGAAATGTTTAATTGCGAAGCTCGCTTAGACTAGAGTGAATTCTAATTCAACAGTTACATGTTGTTAGTCGAATGTTATTATAACACTTTCTTATAAACGCATCGACGGAAAATTCTGCCTTAACCAAGGGGTTAATCTAGATTCGATATGCGACAGTAACGTCCGCGAAGGCGATATTCGTTCGCCTCGAGATCGATTCGTTCCGAAACAAAGAATCTCCGTGACGAGCGTTTATCACGCTAATTTCTGGGCCGTCTTAGTTCGCGCGGAGAAAGGGCGAGGGGCGAGAGGGCGGAGGTTACTCGATTTACGGCGGCGGGAAACGGGACGAAATACCCGATAGTCGATTTCATTAAAACGCGCGTCAGCGCACGTGACCGGTATTAATAAAACCGGCGGCGGCGGGTCCGTGGGTGTGTTTTAGTATTCAGGACAGGATGGAGCTGAAGCGGAAATTGCGCTGCAAGCCCTTCAGTTGGTATCTGAAAAACGTGTATCCCGAATTAGTTATACCGACCAGCGAGGGCGGGCCCGGCGGATCCCTGAAGCAGGGCAACGCGTGCCTGGATAGCATGGGCCATCTACTAGACGGGAACGTGGGACTTTATCCGTGTCACGACACCGGCGGTAACCAAGTAAGTACGCCCGGTTCATTATTCACCCGACGTGTAGTCCCTTCGAAGCGGACGAGCATCCCCTTCGAACGGGACCACTTTTTCCGTCTACTCGAACGCGACTCTTATCGAGCCTTTTATTTCAATGCCGCCTCTCCGTCGAGGAGTCGGCTCGGCGCTGGGTTTACGGAATCCTTCGATTTCGATTTTATAAACATCCGTGGTATTAATGGCTTTTTAAATATGTTTTATTTTTAAAAAACACAGGAATAGATAATCGAATAAAATAGAAATAAATAGAAACGATATAGCTCGCAGTGTACAAGTCTTTTCTTTTCTCTAGTCAACGCAACTCTCTCGAAATCTCTCATCATCCGCACTTAAAAACCATTCTCTTTATATTCGAAGCGTTGACTTTTGGTAGAATGTTTTCTCAGCTGTTTACGCGACTATTATTATTATTATGATTAATGTAGGTGAAACTTGTAACCGACTTAGAGAAGCGTAACCTGTAACTTACGTTGTTTCGTTTTACAAAGGAACATATTGCCCCAAGGCCAGGTGTACACAACCGGCAACTTCATTCGAGCAAACTGTTTTATTGCCGGAATGGAACACGCTGTTAGAAGTGGGATCCCGTGCGCCAGTAACTGTTTAATTGCGGCAACTAGAAACTTACTGCCCGTTTTATTTTCGCGGAACTGTTGCGATAGTAAACCGTACATATCTAACGCGCGTTCATCATCATTAGTTCCCTTTATTCGCGGTAATAATTAATCCTCTTCCTCGAACCACTTCTAATGAAACTTTCGCCAAAGTTACGCCAAGTTAATCAACCGCGACGTTTAACAGGATTTATTAGGTAATTTTCATTTTACTGCTGCTGTTGTTCCGTGCATTATTATACCAAATACTACACCGTCAACGTATAAACACGAAACTTTGGTTTTTCTCTATCAAAGATAACCCTTCGCACTCCGAGCAATTTTAATACGATCTTCCAGCTACTCGCGTTTACTATGATCTACATCTATTCCAGAAGTATTCACAATGAAATTTACAGTGAAAAACACAAGTATACACTTTGAAGTTATATTTGATCAACCAAGGAGGTATCGACTTGTCTTGCAATGCCGCACGGAGTGCAAAGGGCGAAGGTTCTAAAGCGAGCTGAAAAGATCAGCCAGTGATTGGATGGTCTTAGGAATCGGCGATTCGAACTTTGTAAAATCTGAAAGCACGTTTGTTGGCTAGGAATGGACCCTAACGAAGGACGGCCTGATAAAGCACCACGACCTCTGCCTAACCCTGTCGGTCTACGCGAAAGGCACCACGCTGCTGATGCAGATCTGCGACGGCAGCGAGAACCAGAAGTGGAGGCACCTGGAGGGCGGGCTGATCCGGCATTCGAGGCTGCCGGTGTGCATGGACTCGAGATACCACGCGCAGAGAGGCATCACCGCCGAGAAATGCGACTCGAACGCCGAGACACAGAGGTGGCACCTCTACAACCACAATCACTAGCTCGCGAGCTCGATCGGCGGCGGCTCGTGAAGATCGTCGTCGTCGTCGTCGTCGTCGTCGCGTTGCCGCCGCCACACGAGGCGCGGCGAACGGGTCCGCTATCTGATCGGAGGGAGCAGGATCGACCTGATCCGCGCGATCGACCTCTCCGACCCCGAGAACAACCTTTTCGAGCGCGCCGCTCGATGAACAATCAACGCCTCGTCGGTTCAGACGGACCCTTCCCCCGACGGGAGGAAACAGTGATCGAACAAGATAATATTAGAAACTATTTCCGCGAGTCTCGAAGCGTCTCGAGACGTCGTTGACCTCCGACGAGAGACGAGATATATCCTAGGCGAGAGATCAGGGAAAACTTGGAATTGAATTCGACGCGTCCGAGCTGGATAGATTTTTCCGGGTGGACCGATGGGTTTTCGTTCGATTGTAGACAATAGACGGGCCGGGCAGGGATTCGAGGAGCGGGTCGAGTCGCCTCGATCCGCTCCTCGAATAGATTAGCGCGCTGGAAACGATCGAGTCTGGATATTCCGAATCGGCAAGGCGAGAGAGCCAATCTCGAGGAACTTTCATTCCGCTGGTACTTTGACGACGTGCATTTAACGTTAATTTCCCATGATCTCAAAACGATTTCATTGTTCGATCGCATGGTAATATCGTGTAGGGGTGAGATGGAACCTGAGAAAAATACTCTGGTACTCGTGGTCGCGAAGGCTGGCCCAGACTGGGAGACGTTCGTTACGATTATACGATTCGGATAATCGCTCCTCGGTCTGGGTCAGACCCGAGAGGAACACGAGGACGAATATCGCGGACGTTTCGGTGCTTTCGACGCGCGAGTCGCGGGAGTGTCTCGTTTCAAACCGTAAACACTAAGGCCAGTTCCACGAGCAGCTAAAGCGATCCTTTTTCCGGCGAGTTCGGCGATCGAAGGAGAGAACGATCGAAGACACGCGGGCCCGCTTTCTCTTAACCCTTTGCGGACGAGGATTTCCCGAAATATTTCAAAGCCCCGTACGAACGGGAACTATCCGTGGAATTTTTAACGCGTCGCCGATCGGAGTTACGCGGAGCGAAAGATCGTTGCTACTAAGTTATCGCTGTTATTTATGCGAGCGTTTCGATACGGAAAGTTAAATTAATTCGAAAAATGACGTGAATCGTATATCAAATTGTTTCTATCATTTCAACGATTAAACGTCTCGCAACTTGGAAATCCGAGTTCGCCATTGGAGCCGACAACATGGCGGCGCTCGTCGTCAAAGGGTTAATTCCCGTATGTATCTGATAATCTCTCTAGCCCGACAGAAGCTGAATCCGAATGCAATAGCGAGGAACCTTGTTTTCAGCCGACTTGATTGTTAACGACGAAGTATATATATATATATATATATACCAGGCGGCGCCGTGCTTTCCATGTTTCTCTCCGTAAAATCCGGCGAACAACGCGCGCACGTGAATCGGACGCATCTCGCGCCGACGCGATTCGCATCACAAAGAGATTTATTTTTCTATAAGAAATTGTACACACTTACTTGGTTGTGCGAATAGTTGGGGATTCCGCGGTGCGCGGCCGCTCGGCCGACTCGACGCGTTTCAAGATGGCGGGCCGTGGGATCGCACGAGTAGACAACGATAATCTTGGAGGCTGTCGATACGGAGATTGATTGCGTTTGTATTCGCGTATCCTTTCTCTGCGTTTCCTCTTCTCCTTTTCACCGGCAAACGCGTCGAGACGATCAACGGCGGCGAGCGATGCGGCTAAGCGCAGCAATACGTAGCGGAAGACGATCTTTTGTACACTTACACTTTCCCGGGGACAATGATCTACTGCTGTGTCGTCTCGCATTGGAACTACATACGTATACATATATACATATACGGGAGTTTATGCTATCGAATATTGTAAGCTTTTGTATGATATAAACACGAACGCGCTCTAATCGCCTCGACATTCGCAGCACTACGACAAGGAATTGTTTATACGGTTCGTTTAACCCCCTTCGCAATCGAACCGCAATCCTTCGCAATAGAGACGTCCCTAGAATCTTATTTTGTAACTGGTTTTTTTCTTACGGAACGGATAGATACCGTACGTTTTAATCGTTCGAGTCAGAGGATCATTTCTTCGATCCTCGATCAGTTTATACGATGGACACCTTATCGTTCCGCGCGTGAACTGTACACTATATTTATTGAACGTACCGCTAGAATCGAGTTTTCGTTTCGGTGATATCTTTAAAAGAATACAGGGTGGCTGGAATGGAATAGAAAGCCTTAGAAATTCTTCGATCACTTACACTTGCGTTTCGTCCAATCCACAGTCGCGGAGGCATCGTCGGAGATGGAAACTCCGATGACTCGCGAATCAATGCGCTGTACATATATTTCACGTGTCCGATCAATTACTCCCCTCCCCACTTCTCCCCCGTCCTAAGGCGTCTCCGAGCATCACTTCTTCCGCCGTCAAACGCGAATGAAATTCGCCCGTTTCACCGCTTTCGTCGCGAGTAACGAGACAACCATTAATCGCGTAACGATTGTACATAATGTGTCTACGGTACTTGTAAGTTTAAGCTAACACGAAACGTACTTCCATGGATCTGTAAGCTGTAATATAAACGACCGACTACGAACGTTAACGTATAAGATAGAGGAATAGAACGGATAAGGAGCACGGTAACGTTCGGATTAGCGAAACTACCGCTAAACCGGGGACCGAGCCGTTACCCTATAAATTGCCGCAATTTCTTCGACGCTTCTTCGTCGAGGGATTCGTGTGTCGTTCGTCGATGGGAAACGAACACGATTTCGGTGACGATTCGTTCGAAGCAGTGAAATGATCGCGCTAATCCGAACTTTACCGCACGCTGTACATTGAAACGAGTATTTTTCCTGCCTCCGTGTAATCTACGTTGAATTCTCGATTGATTTTATGCCCGGTTAAGACGGTGTCTCTGGAGGTGTTGATTATACAGGTCGATTAAGAAACGGTGCGCCAAAATTCGCAACACCGGTCCTGCGTCTAAGGGTGAAGGGAATTTTCGCGTTTTTGGAAGGTTCTCCTTCGATTCTGGTACGGCGGACGCGTTCGAATCGCTGGTCCACCGTTTCCGAATCACCTTATATACAGTATGTTACATTAACACGCTTTCCGGGAACGAGAGGAAAGCGATTTTTAACATTGAACGTTGTCTGTTTAACGCTCCCTACTTTCAGTCTATCCGACGTTCGGTTTACAATTGTTATAACGACGCGTCGACGACTCGGCACGGTCGGACTTTGCTCTGTTGCTTTGCGAATCAACGGGGAATACGTGGAATTAGTTAATTAATCGATCGACCGTTCTTTCTCGCGTTGACTCCGTATCGAGATTGTAACGAACTTTGCGGTTTCCAGTAATTAGTTGCACCGACAGACACGGCGAACGTTCGTTTTCAGAGTCCGCGTGCCGGTCCTCAACGCGTGCGCATTGAATTTCTGCAGCTCTGTATTTTGCAAATGTATAATACTAAATCTGAATGAAATACATATAAATATATACGATTCGTATATACTTATGTATGTATATATACGTTTATGTTAAGAGTGCGATATTATAGTACTTATAGGAACAAGGTTTTTTAATAAAAAAAATGGCATCACTCCAGGAACCCACGTGTAATTACTCCTTTGACCAAAGAGAATATAGGAATCAACGAGTATCTTATTTTATTAAAAACATTCTGTACAAAGAACTTAGTCAGGAGAAGTTACTCTCGAAATGTGAGTCTTTTAGGTCCATGTGCAGTTGCTATGTTGCAGCACTGCGCTTTTTCAATCCTTTCTTTACTTTATTCTTAAATTCTTCTATGTTTATATCAGTTTTCTGCTTTTTCCTTTCGCTAGGCTTCTCCTCTGGAGGTACAAATGCCTGTGCTCTCCTCTCTTGCCTCTTCTTCTCGGCCTCCTCGTGTTTGGCGTCTCTTTCCTTCTTCCTCTTAGCCTGCTTCTGTTCCTCCTTCAAGAAGTACTCTCCGGAAGCTATCATCTTGTCCACCTTGCTTTCCTGCTGCGGCGGTGGGAATGGAGTGTAAGGTTTCTTCTCCTTCTTCTTCTTAGGCTGCTTGCGTTTGCTGACATTCTTGCTGCTGAACTTTGGAAGGAACCTTTCCCAGTTCTCGTTCTTCAGCTTTGGATCCTTGGCCAGTTCCCTTTTGATCATTAAAGCTTTGATGTTATAAATTGGATGAACATTCTTCATGGTGTCCTCTATTATTCGCCTAACTTGCTGGAGACCTTTGTAAGGACCTAATGCAGCCACTGTCTGTCCTTGTACTAATACGTAACAATCGGTCAGTAACTCTATAGATTTCAAGGTGCATCCATTAGGGCCAATAAGCCTCTGACGTCTCTTGACAAATTTCTCTCTATTCCTTACAAAGGAGGATATCTTAATAATATCTGAACCTACATCATCCTGTAGTACTCTTACTGCTTGCTCGAATGGGACAGATCTAGACATAAGCTTGATCATGTCACGTGCCTTCACAATGATGAACGGATCCCATGTCTTCCTGGTGGTTTTCACTGTCATGCTACCTTCTATGAGATCCAATTCCGCTTTGACAGCATGCTTATCTAAAGCTCTCTGTACCAAGGGCCAATGTTCTTTTAGGTACTTCTCTCTGTACTTTGGGAATAAAGTAGCAAACGAACTCTCTTCCAACAGACGATGGGGATTGTCAGACTGCTTGAAAGATGGGATTTTCAACGACCATGCATTGTCTACTGGCTCCGTCGTCTTCGGCTCGTCTTCCCTCTCAGAGTCACTCATTTTTCCCACATTAATTTGTCACTCTTCGATCATTACACTTGACACTAATCAGCAGCAAAACCTCGTGTGCGACAACATTTAAAGGTTATGTTTACTGCCTAAAGAAAAGGTAAGAAAACGACTGTGGCGCCATCCGCGGCAAAACGCTCAAACTGGTAGCCGAACATTACCGACACACCTGAAGAAATGTTAAGAAAACGAATGTAGCGCCACCCGTGGCAAAACGCTCAAACTGGTAACCAATCATTACCGACACACCTGAAGAAACGTTAAGAAAACGATTGTGGCGCCATCCGTGGCAAAACGCTCAAACTGGTAGCCAATCATTACCGACACACCTCGAGAAACGTTAAGAAAACGATGGTGGCGCCACCCGTGGCAAAATCCTCAAACTGGTAGCCAATCATTACCGACACACCTGAATAAAAGATAAGAAAACGACTGTGGCGCCACCCGTGGCAAAACGCTCAAACTGGTAGCCAAGCTTTACCGACACAGTCGTCAAGGCCTTAAAAAAAGTAGACGTCTGCGTCGGTACAGTTTGGCTACCAGTTTGAGCGTTTTGCCACGGATGGCGCCACAGTCGTTTTTTTAACCTTTTCTTGAGCCCCTTGGGCAGCGTCGGTAATGGCTACCAGTTTCAGAATTTTGCCGCAGATGGCGCTGCGTTTAAACTATATTAATAATTTTAATTAATTTCAATCTTGTCTCTTTGAAGTACTTTTAATGAATAAGAATAAATGTTTATAATAACTGAAAAACATACGATAAGATTGACAGTCTTAGCAACCATACTATCGTAGCAGAAAGACGACAGCCGAATGAATGAGAATCAGCAAACAGCATACAAAATGTTAATTAAACAATACATTATAAACTTCGTATATACATCAATGCATTTCTTGATCCCCAAAGATCCCCTACCTGCAATTTCCCAATTCTTATCTGCCTCTTCAATGGTTCCGCTATCATTGGATCCGCCGGTTCCGATTATTCCGCGGATCAACATCAAAACCGCAGAATTCGCAATGTAAATTGAAGCAACAAATCCCCTAAGAACCGCGTAATCCGTCCAAGGGACTTGGAAACAAGCAGCTTAACCGTGGCACACGGTGACATCGATAATCCCTCGGCGCGGGGAGCGTCGCGTGTTTCCAGCGGAGCGTGCGCGCTCGCGGGCAATAAAAGAGAAACAGAGTCCCGGCCTACGAAGCCGGCACGTCTCGTCGCTCGTCGTCGGCGCAGTTCTCGGCACGCGATTTATCGTGTCCGCGAAACCGGAAGTGTCTATCGGAACCCATGACTCCTCGACAACTTCCTCCGTTCGGTGAAAGTGCTGTAAATCGTCATCGTCCGGCTGTCTATATGGAACGCCGTGACTGGACAGACGATCTAAACGACAAGGACGCTGGAAGTATCGCAGCGAAGTCCACGCATCGCCGCAACGATCCCCTAATTCGCGTCTTGCGTCGAGAAACTTTCCTGGCGAGGATCCGTCGAGGAACAAATAATTCGCTTAAACGTCCGAAGATCGAAGCCAGCTGACCCCCAGCTGATCGCTGGGCAGCTTCGGGAGTGGACGGAACGGCTGCGGTTCGATGCATGGCAAATTGCCAGATGACCTACAATTCCGGAGGGGTTCAACCGAGACACCGACCGATCGTCTCGATAAGGAGGCAGGACGATCTCCTGTAGCAGTGGGAGATCAGTGGTCTCGAGCATCTCGTTGCGAATCGGAGGAAGAGACGAGAATGCGCGTCGTTCGTCGAGATCTGAACCTTGACATTAGAGAAATTCGGATTTATTAATAGCTCGGATCGCGGAGGATCGACCATACGATCGGAAGCTAGAAGATTATTCGACCGACGAAGCTGGAAGAGGATTCGGTAGAAACGGACCGCCCCGATCGGACCGCGCCATAGATCTGCGATCGATCCCGTAGAGACAACCCGGCGTCACTCGGGAACGTAAACACGGGCGTTGCAGAGTATCGTCGACGATGTTTGCCTAGAGATCGACCTTCAACGTTGGTCTCCGAGACGTAGAAGCAAGGGAGAACAGCGGAGAGGCTTCGAGATCGTTGGACTCGTCGGATCGGCTTCGCTTTCGGAAATAAGGTAAGCTCCCGAGTGCCATCAGACCATAGGATCCTTTGCTCCGATTACGAGTCACCAATGATATACAGAAGTGAAGCGAGTAATATCTCCATTCCTGAGGTTCATAAGAGATAGCACTCTCACCAAAGTCTCTCATAGGACCCTTTGCTCCAATTACGAGTCACCAATGATATACAGAAGTGAATCAAGTAATATCTCTATTCCTGAGTTTCATAAGAGATAGCACTCTCACCAAAAGTCCTACGAAAGCAAACGCGAACCGAACTCCACTGGATCCCCGTAGAACCTAGGCACCTAACTAGCGAAAATAGTCTAACTCCAAACTCGGCAGCCACTCGCAGTTACAAAATCCCAGCAGCCTTCAGAATGTCTCCACGATCTAATTTCCCTACTTCGTCCGAACGAAGACCAGCCGAAACGTACCGAACGATCGAACCTCGACGAGCCCTGTTACAGGTCCTCCAAGGTGGCAGCCTGGTGAGGCGTTGACGGGTGTCCTCGGACTGCCGTAAGAATCCGCGAGAGGATCAGCCTCGGTATCGACCGTGAGCGGCGGCGGGCATGGACGAGGGCGAGGGCGAGGGCGAGGGCGAGGGCGCA